GCCCTTCAATCTTGTCTGTGTTTTAGTACTTTGGTACAATCATTGAGAATTTTGCTAGTGGACAGCCACATGATCTCTAGAGAATCATGGGCTGGGAGATGGGCTTCTGTTACAGGCTTGTGCAGAGCTGAAGTGACCTCTGTGTGTAGTTACTGTTCTGCCTGGTGTCTCTCTGACCTTTCCCTGGCTGGAGAAATGAGCTGAAATCTTGCTTGAAACTGTATTAGACAGCCCTGGCAGGCTTCAGTCCTTAGGGAGAAGCTGGGAAACACTGCCTTAGTCCCTTTCCCAGTCAGGTGACTGCTGAGGGCGTGACACTGCAATAAGATAAATACCTCTAAGGGAAGTTTTGGGGGATCTTTGTGTTACTTGGCATTCTTTCTAGCAGTAGACAAGAACTGTCTCCTCTTCAGAAAGGTGAGTATGCCTATAAATACCAGAACTCCTTCATAAAGGCAGTGGAGAGGACATTACTGGACATCATCCCAGTTACTGCTGCAGAGCTACTGGATGTGCAGTTCCAGAGCTGGGGAGTCTGGAAAGGACACCCTGTCCCATGCCCCATTTCATTCTCTCTGTTGGGGACCTTCCTAGCTCTGCTGTACCAACAGCAATCGAGTTTGTTACACTGCTAGAGTGATGTGGAACCTCCTGGCTTGAGCTCTCTAGTTTCATTCTGACAAGTTAAAAAGAAAAAAAAAAGGGATTTCATGCTTGTCATTCTGTAAGGGAAGGGAGGCTGCTATCTTTTTGTGTAATTGGATTGTTCAGATTGAAACGTTTATCTGCAACCTATACTAGAGTGCCAGTGTTTTTGGAGGGAAAAGAATGCCTTGACCACTGAGTGCTCTACAGAAAAATGACCAGGGAATCAAACAAATTGGTTGCAGACAGAATCAAATTCCTGCTTTCTGGTGGTAGTTGTCTTGAGGTGAAAATTAGTTAGTATCAACCTATTACTGATTACAAGTTTTGCTTAGCTTGGCTTTAGCACCTATATAGAAAATGATCCACAATAAAAATGTGTCTTCACCAAAGCCTCACTTACTAGATAAATGTAACTCAATTTTTTCCTACATGTGTCTGTATGCAGCATTTGCTGCTGTAGTTGGGAAAGGGAAGAGGAGTTGGGCAGAAACCCTTGTCTGGTGCAATTTACAAGTTTTTTTTTTGTGTGGATGAATTCCTGCGGGGCTGCAGCCCTGTGGGAAAGGGAAGAGGAGTTGGGCAGAAACCCTTGTCTGGTGCAATTTACAAGTTTTGTGTGGATGAATTCCTGTGGGGCTGCAGCCCTCTGAGCCTTTGTAGAGTTCAGAGGTTTGATTTTGGGTAACTTAGGAAAACAGTTGCTCATAAGCATTCTCAGGAGGCAGTCAAGCAATGCATAGAAGTGGTGCCTTGGGCATTTGGAGTCTGGAAGTACTGGAATGTGGTATAGATGGAAGAGAATTTCTGTGGTTTACCTGCCTGAGGGAAAGCTTTCAATGGACAAGAGCTATTATTACTTTTGGATCTAGAAGTTTTCTTTGTGGATGAGGACCCTGTTGCACAGATGCTGTGAAAGCATGAAGCAACAAGGCACACCCTACAATGTGTAGTGGGTTTCACATGTTTTTGAAAGGGAATGTTTTAGCCTAACACCTTGGTCTGAGGGCAGGGATCTGTGGTCTCAGACACGTCCCTGACTGGATCACAAGTGAGAATAACAACATAGCTTAAAGGTAGAAACAGCTCTATCACAATGAGCCCTCAGGTATTTTCCTGAGTGGATCAGTGAGACAGTCATGAGCCATTCCATCTTTCTGCAGCTAAAGAGCAAGAAGCATTTTTTGATAACTTAATAGGGAGCTGATAGCAGGTGTGGCCTAATAATTATGTTGGCTCCTAAGTGAGAGCAGGTATGTGGGAGAAGAAGGGAGGTATCTTTTCTAACACAGCAAGCAGAAATAGTTGTAGCTGTCATTTGCACGGTTCAGTTTGCCTGATGTTGCTGGTTGTAGTGGTGTCTGTGATGCCTTTATCCCTAATCCTCTGCAGGTGTGAAATGAACAGCAGTGTAATCACTCTTTCCCTCTTCTTCAGAGACCTCCTCTTGCAGGAGCTGCTGTGAGGTCTTAAGTAGCTCTTAACTGTGAGAGCTGATAAATAAAGGTGGGAAGGTAGGCATGAACATTCCTTTGCCTTGCAAATATGATTTGCTAGATAGCCTCCTCTTAGCAGAGGTGGCAGTGGCATCAGGAGTCTTGTATGTGGTACTGGCCCACATAAAACTCCAGTTGATCCAATATAACTCCAGCTACGTTGCTCATACTGTACAGGCTCTGCCAGCCCTCCTGAATCATTTGGTGGCTTTTGCTAAATCAGGCTGTCCATGAGGTATCCCTGTCATCTTTGCTGTAAAACAACGTCCAGGCTTTGGCACATATATTTACTTTTCCCGTCAAACTTGTGTTTTCCCTGGTCTCAAACACTGAGTGGCTCACACCATGTGGTATTTCAGGAATAGACTGGCATGAAGGGGTGGGCTGGCAATCTACTTGCTCATCCAGGGCTCACTCAGGGTGACAGCAGCAGCTGTTCTTTTCAGCCCCTCTGTGCAGTACTAAGTACCTTCCCTATGTCTGCATGCAGATCCAGTTTGATCTGCTGACTGACATGGGCTCATGAAGTATGTAAAGTCCAGAAAAAGCCCAGCAGGAAAGGGTCGTTCTTGTTCTTTGACTTTTTGCTTCTACCAAGCTGGATTTTTCTAGATTTTTATAAAGGCTGTACAACTGCTATGGAAATACCTACTCAACTGACTGCCTACTCAGGTCAGGGAAATTAGCCTGCAGAAATACTCTACCACTTCATTGTATTTTCCCCCCAGCTGTTGTGCTGATGACTACAGTAAAGCCTTAAGCTGTGGCATACATGAAATCACAGATGCAGAAAAAACATATGAATTCAAAAGCAGGTTGAAGAAATTAATGGAAGAGAAATCTGTTGAGCTCTTTCATAGGTGGCACATCCAGCTCAGGGAAGTTCCTGTCAGCAAGTGGTTAGAGGCTTAGAGAGCATGCAGGGAGGCATCATGTATTCTTGCTCTGTAATCAAAGTGAGGGAACGTATCTCCTTTTGGCTGCTGACTAGAAAGGCTATGAGGCCATAATAAACCTTAGTCTGATCCAGCACAGCTACTAGTATATTTAGAGCCTGTTAGTGATTGTAAATCTGGTTATTTGAGTTGATGACTCCTGAGAAAGCAAGCAGATGTGACTCAAAATCTAACATGGAAACTGCAGAAAGAATGGATTCAGGGTTTGGGATGTTTGCTTAGCCTGACTGTCCCTCAAATGAACAAGCATATACTGCCATACAACAGCTTTCCACATTTACCCCTCAAAGTCTAGTACCGTGTAGTCAGCCTAAATTGGACACTAGAGATGGAAGACATGTTTGTGATTCATTGCTTCCTGATAAAGCGGGGATGGGGGAGTAGCGTGGAAAAAGTGACACAGCATTCATGTGCCATGTATCATTGATCTATGTCTTCATCAGGAGAAAGAAAGAAAGAAAGGATGGGTTTGAAATACATCTTTACATACCTTCACACATTTTTTTTTAATCATAGCAATTTCAGGAATGTTTAGTCTGGTTTTATCGGGGACTACTCAGAAGCCTTAACCTTTTATCCAGTGACCTGGACAATTCAGAGTCACAACTCTTCCCCCTCAACCTCTTGCCTTCCCCTTCTTCACCAAAAGTCATTGGTTTGCAATAACCTAGTCTGCTTTTCTTTCCTTCCTTCTGTTTCCCTACCTTCTTTCATTTCTTCTCAAAAATGGTCTTACCATCTGACTAATAATCCCACTTCCATATTTTGCAGTTTCTACTCTCAGCTGCCCCAATCTTCCAGCCTCAGCTGAGTGCATATTGGTGGGATTTTTTTTGCTTGTCTCTAGTTGAGGGGGTTTTGTTATTTTTGTATGGGTTTGTTTTTTTTTTTAAATAAATTAACATTTTAGATTGAGGTAAATCCCCAGGGATGTAAATGTGAGATAAACAAAAATGTCTTGTTCTGCCCTGGCTTTCCTTAGCCTTTGCAGACCTTTTACTTCTCTTTGCTCTGTGGAAAGCTGATCACCATTACCTGTACCCTATAGCAAAATAAAGTATTTCTGAGAATGTGATGGGAACAACTTACTGGAAACAAGGAACAAAAAAGCTCCCCTGCTAGATGGCCACATCCTACCAGTGCAGTGCTAGGTGCTCTTGTACTAAAGGGACTGTAGACCAGAATATGCATTCTGGTGAGTTTTGGTGGCTTTTTCTTTTTTTCTTTATGTTAGAGTTATCAAGTTCTTTGTCTTGTGTATAAATCTTCATCTTTAGTTAAAAGAGACTGGAGAAGGTATGTGTGTGTCCTTCTCTCATTCTCCCAAAGGCCGCTATGTGTAAAAGTAAGGGCATGGAGGCACTGGGGTTTGCTAAACTGGACACTGTCCAGTGAGGGGGACCAGGCCCCATGTGGGGTGCCTGGGTGCTTATTTTAGGCCTTTCTGGCCCAAGCCGTTCCCTGTGCTCAGCTGTTGTGATGCTACCTTTCCTGCACAGTGCTGTCAGCCACCCCAGTGTTTCTATTTTAACTCTCTCTGGGGTTAGATCTTGTGACACAAGGATTTGGCATCTCTCCTACGTGCTGGAACATGGCATCTCGGGAGGCACAGTGGGTGCAGCTGCTATATCAGAGGGTGCCCCTCCTAAGTACTGGTAGAAAAGGGACAGCACTTTGTGTGCATCAGAACAGGCATCATCCCTGCAAAGGAGTGTCTGACCGTGTCCATCTCTGTCTCCTCCAGTCTTTTTTCAGAGTCTGAAGAGCTTGAGATTCACTTGCGAGCTTCCCAGTGCTCTCCCTGCGGCATCTCACTTTCAGCTTTCAGGTATGTAGTTACTGGGGCCAGGAGTAGAGTTGCATGCCCTGGAGGCTGTAAGATGGTTTGCAGTCAGATGACAAATGGTGAGGAGGGAGGACAGGGACAGCTGGTGGCATGGTGGAGAAATTAATTTTTCAAGGTTTGTGTACCTGAATGTCATACCCATTTAACAACTCGCTTCAGTGACTGGAATTCAGCATTTCCAGCCTTCTGAAGAAGGCCAGAGGAACAGCACTAATATACTTCTGACACTCCATGGGATGACACTGGGCAAACATAGCCAAATGTCAGAAATTCCTGAAGTCTGGGTTGGGGCGCTTCACTGTACAGCTCATGCCACCAAGAAGGATTTGCATGAGGTGGGAGATGTGGACTCTTGACCTGATCTTCTTCTCTGCTGTGTGCTCTGTGGGCTGGCAGAATGAGCAGATACCTCTCTGGGGTGTGAGGGAAGCTTTTTATAACCAGGAATGTGCAAGAGGAGAAGTGGCAGCAAAGGCCATGCATGGTGCATTAACCTGGGCTTGTCTGAAAAGAACTGGGTTTGTCAGCAAGTGACTGGGCTTGGGTCCTGTTACTCCTTCTCTCATTCTTGCACAAGAACAACCCTGAACCTCTCCCCAGGGAATTCATGGCTTAATACCACATCAGGAGCAAACTGGCAGTGCAGGCTAGCACAAGGGAATGGGCAAAACTTCTGGACAGCAGAGAATGAGAGGAGCCTTTTACCTTCCAGCCTAGATTTGGAGCCTAATGCAGTGAGTGTAGTGAAAAGTAGCAGTGCAGGGATGTTTCTAGGCAAGCAGTGCTGCTGGGTAACAGGTACGTGTGCTGCGCTGCCGTTTGGCTGGGTATGCCCCAGCACATTTCTGTACTTCTGCTCAAGTCCAGTTCAGCTGGTGGGCAGCTTATAGGGCTCCTCCCCATTCAAGACATGCCTGCCTGCTGACTGCTCAGCCTTGTTTTCCCCAGTCAGTTGTTGTAATCCTGTAATCCTGAGTCATACTGGGAAGCTGGAGTCATCTCCATTGACACAAGACTTTAAATAAAGTCTTTCAAGGCAGATTTTAAATAGCTTTAGCTACCTCTGTTTCTCTTACCCTCTCGAGGGCTTTGGTTAAGAACAGAATCTCTGCAGAAGTATTTGGTGCTGCTGAAGAGTGTTGGATTCATAGCATGTCTGATATCTGCACAGCCAAGGTTTGGCAAGATTGTCTTCTACAACATTTTTTCCTAATGTGTTACAGGCCTGCCAAGGAGGCCTCTTGTCTGCAGGGAGGGAGAAGGCCAGTTCAGCCCTGGGCATCTCTGCTGGACCTTGCCATCTGCAGCTAGAGGGGCACTGATGACAGTACTTGACTGCAGAACAGCAAGTTGGGCTCCTCCAGCTCCAAGAGTAATGGAGAATTATGCTGTCTGCAAAGGCTCAGCCAGTGCTATGATGGAAATCACTTTTCTCTCTTCTCAGGTTAACTGAAATCTGCAAACATTCTCTGCTGCAAGAAAAAGAGGGTGATGTCATCAGAAGATGATGCTGGTGGGGAGGCTCCTGGGGGCAGTTTCTGGGAGGTAAGAAAGGATAATTGGAGTGTGAGGGAGGTAGGAGTGTCATCTTACCACGCACTGGTGGAATTGGGTTGAGTTCCAGGTCTGTGGTGACATGTTGCCCTTGAGGAGTGGAAGGGAGGAGCTGTGGGAAGGTTCAGTGTCATGCTGTGTGTTACTGCAGGGAGCAGTGAGTCTTCCATAGATACTGTGGAATGAGAGTTCCTTGTTCAGCTGACATTGATCTGAGCTGTGAGAGAAGCAAGCAAAGCATCTCAGCTTCTTCCCTCCAGTACTGTGTCTGTCTGAGACTGCCAGAGGAGGGTGTGAACCCAGATGCTGCCTTCAGAAGGGCCCATGTTCCCTCCCTGTGCAATGATGGACCTGCTCTTGTGTGTACTGTAGGAATGTGAAAGTCAGTACGGTATAAACAATGCTGTGTGACATTTCAGGCTGGAAACTACAAGCGGACAGTGAAACGTGTGGATGATGGCTACCGGCTCTGCAATGACCTTATCTCCTGCTTCCAGGAGCGAGCCAAGATAGAGAAGAACTATGCCCAGCAGCTAACAGAATGGTCCCGTAAGTGGAGGACCAATGTGGAGAGAGGTAAAGTTGGCTTATCAGACTGGGAACAGGAAGCAATCATTGCACTCCCCTCTTTGTGTGCTCTCTTCCTGAGGTGACACTGTTTCCTTGAGGAACAGGCTTCCCCTCCCCAGGATGGGGGTAACTTTCTTGTGTGTCTATTTTGTGTATTTGCCTGTTTTTGTAGTCAGTCTTCTGATTCACTTGGAGATGTGTTCTCTTCTCATGTGCATGGTTATTTAAAAAAAACATCTTTGTGCTTAGTTTGGCAAGTCCTTGGGCAGTCCATGTCTTATCTCAAGCTGGAGATACCCCCCCTTTAAGAACGGCTTAGTGTCTTCTCCTCCAGTCTGAGAATAACTACTAATGGTGTGATTTAGTGGCAGTGTGCTCAAACTGATAGTGTCTCACAAAGTGACTGGAAACAATGGGACAGATGTCCCAAAGGACCTGCTGGTCTGTGGAACAGAAGCCTAGCCTTAGTCACGAATTAATGTTGCTCTCTGCTGTGAAGCCTAAGCCAGATTTGGGAAGAGAATTTCCTATAGAAACCTTCTCCTAGCAGGCACCATCTGGGACAGTTGAAGCTGCCCAAAGAAATGCCCATCTCATCCAGCTCTAGCAGCCAGTCTAGATGCTGCCTGGTGGAACTGTGGAGACCAGTCAGTGCTGACTTGTTTGATGGGGTAGAGTTAGGGAAGTGACTCCATACTGGTAGATGTATGTAAGAGGAAAAGAATCTGTATTCTCTTCAGTGGGCAGTAGGTATAAGAGCCTCTCTGGTGCTTGTTCCTCTAGGTCCGCAGTATGGTACTCTGGAAAAGGCCTGGCATGCATTCCTGACAGCTGCAGACAAACTGAGTGAAATTCACTTGGCTGTCCGGAACCACCTGGCTGGTGAAGATTCTGATAAGATCAAGGCCTGGCAGAAGGAGGCCTACCACAAGCAGATGATTGGAGGCTTCAAGGAAACAAAGGACGCAGAGGATGGGTTCCGAAAGGCCCAGAAACCCTGGGTGAAGAAGATGAAGGATGTAAGCAAAGTGTGAATGGGGGAAGAGAGATAAGGGTAGTTGAGCTGGCTGCATGATTTCAAGAGCCACTGGCAAACAAACTAGGTTAGCCAGAGTAGCAGAGAATTCCCAGAGAGGGATGGATCTCTCGAGGATCTCATGTTGTGGTTTTATAACTTCCTTCCCATATGGGAAGACTTTGGTAACAGGTTTTGTATTCCTGCACAGCAGGTGAGCACTGAAAAAGAGATCATTTGAAGCTTCCCACTGAAGCATTGTTTACTAAATGGCATTCCTGTTACATTGCTGCAGACTCTAAGAAATGTTAACATGCCTCCTCTGAGTATTGGAGGATCGTTGTGGGCAGGATCATAGCTTTTTCTGCATCCCTTCTCCTGCAGGTGGAGACTTCTAAGAAAAACTATCATGCAGCCCGGAAGGAGGAGAAAACGGCCCATACAAGGGAGAACCATGCCAAGGCAGACTCGTCTGTCTCACAGGAGCAGATGCGCAAGTTGCAGGAGCGCGTAGAGAAGTGCACTCAGGAGGCTGAGAAGGTGTGTGTGTGTGTGTTGTATGGATGGGGGTCACAAGGATACTCCTTTCAAGGAAAAAGCATTGGTAGTAATGTTCCTCGGTGAAATGACTCAGCTGAAGCCTGTAAGAAGATGTGAATTCCCATCATCTGAGGTTTTAGTGAGCTAGACTTCAGTAACTAAGATCTTGGTGCTTGGAGTTAGGCAAGATCCTAATTTATAATAAATTTAAAATAAGAAAGGAAAAAAGTGTAGGGGATTTGGTGCAGGGAGTGGAACCTGTAGAGCTGAAGACTTGGCTACCAAAAATAGCTGATTTGTCTGTCCACAACAGGGAAAGTGTGGAAGGTCCTGTATGAAAGAGAGTAGTAAGGAAGAACAGGAAACTTGCAAGAATATTAGGAGAGCAGTGGACTGAGACATCAGCTGTGGGATTTCTTATTTCTTTGGTGCATTTGTTCAACAGTGCAGGGGGGGAAAAAACTTATCAGTCCCAAGCCAGAGTAGGAGGGTTGTTAATTTTTTGCCATCAGGGCAACACATCTCACCATTGCTGTGTTCCTACTACAGTGCAAGGATCAGTATGAGAAGATGTTGGAAGAATTGAATCGCTACAATCCCCGCTACATGGAGGACATGGAGCAAGTGTTTGAGGGCTGTCAGGAGGCAGAGCGCAAGCGATTGTGCTTCTTTAAAGAGATGCTTCTGAATCTGCACCAGCATCTCAACCTCTCCACCAGTGAAAGGTACTGGCCCTGATGCAGAGGGGAATTCTGCCAGCCTGGAGTGCATAGGCTCTGGTGAGGGGTGCCAATTCTGGTGTCTCTGGAAGCTGCTTGCATCAGCCAGATCTCACTTATTCCCCTTTCAAGTGTATATGAGAACTGGCATTTGGTCTCTTCAGAGTGACCAGTGGTGGGGGTCTGTGATTGTAGGCAGTGCCAGGCTCCCCAGAGGGGATTTTCTGCCTTTGAATCCTTCCTTTTTCGCCACTCTCCAGTATGGTCCTGTATGTGCACTTCTATCCTATGAAAAGCCTCATATTGCTATATGTAATCTCAGGCTAAGGAATGTAGTAGCTCTGCTGCCTTCTAGTATTGATGGTTATTCCACCTATTTTGCCCTTAGTAGAGAGACCTTTTGTGAAGTAATGCCTGTAAGCCCATGAGTTGCCCTAAGCAGGGGTTACACAGGGGTAACAGGCACAGCCAAAAATCTTCTGTGCCCCTTTTATGGTAGAGACAACAAACCTGAGCCACCTCCCTGTCCATGTGCAAGAATGTGCCGAGTTATTTCAGTGCTCACTTAATGAGCTGTGCTGGCACTTGTTAGGCACTGCCACACCAAACAAGCCTGTCCCGTTTGCCAGGCTACTCTCCAGTAAGGGAGGCTGTGTTTTCCTAGGGCTGAATAGGTGCTGCTCTAGCATCCTTAATCCTGTGGGATTGAGGATGCTGTGTAATTGTGCATGAGGTTAATCTCTTCCTTCCTACTTGGCTTTTGGGAGACTGCTGAGGGATTTGATTACTGCTGGTTCTGTCTGTTCTGGTTGTAGCTTTCATGCGTTGTATCGGGATCTCCACCAAGTCATCATGGCTGCAGACAACCAGGAGGACCTGAAGTGGTGGCGCAACACTCATGGACCGGGCATGGCGATGAATTGGCCTCAGTTTGAGGTGGGGTAGCATTCTAGGGTGTGTTAATGCTATTTCCAAACTATTAACTGCTCAGCTGAAACTGGCCATTACTAGTCTGGTGCTGGAAAGACCATGTCTTTGCTCAGCAGGCTCGGGATATTGGCATCTTCTGAAATTGTTGTGTTGCAAGCTGTCTGCTGCACAAAGGGGCACACATAGGCTATAAGCCAGCCAGCTGCAAGGTCAGAGAATGGGAGGTGGTGCTCAGGGCTGTGGGACAGCTTTCTGTGATGATTTTCTCACAGCCTCTCTTGTTGCACCTTGGGATTCTACAGAAATGAGCCTGCTATACCAGCAAGGCTATTGAGCTGACCACTTCAGCTGCTACTGAAGTACAACCTGGTCTTCTGTTGTTCTGTGTTGGGCAGAAAAGATACATGGAGCATTTCTGAGTGGCTGTGATGGTATTACTGGTTTTCCCTGCACAGGAATGGTCTCTTGAAACACAGAGGCAAATCACCAAGAAGGAGAAGAGTGGAAAGATGGCTGATGATGTCACACTGACCAGCATTTTGCCTACACGAGATGGTGTTGTCTCACAAACCCCTCTGCAGACAAGGTAAAGGCTGAATTCTGGGATACATCATGTTAGGAAAAGTACAGTCCTGCCCAGGGCCATGAATGAGTTGGATTAATAAGAGTAATCTCTTCCTTAATTTCCTGTCTCTTGCCCATGGCCTTACCTGTGGCACTCTGGAAAAGGCCATGTAGAAAATGCTGTTTAGGGTAGCTGTTTGGTTTTGGGTTTGTTTTGTTGGTTTTTTTGGTTTTTTGTTTTGTTTTTTTTTTTGTCTAGCACATTCTGCTTCACAAAGTGCTTTCCTGGTAGAGAGCCTTCTAATGACAAGATTTAGCCCAGTCTGACTATTGCTGTCTAATTCTGGCATGCATTTCCCCAGTTCTTCTCCCAGACAGGGTGAGAGAAGTTGGGGGCTGTGTGGTTTCTTAAATGAAGGTAACAAATTCTTACTGCTTTTCCCTGGTATGGTGCTGAGCAGCACCTGACAAGTTTGAGTATAGCTGCCTCCCTTGCCAGGAGGCAAGCCTGGAGAATAGGGAGAAGCAGAACAGACTCATTCTACTGTTGCAGTAGCTGTCCTGCTTTAAAAGGTAGATGCTGGCCAAAGTGAACTGAGCAGAGAAAAATGGGGATCCTAGAGATTTTTCAAGGCCACTACTGTATTTCACAGTCAATTGGATTCAAGGGCCCTATTTACCAATCTACAGGTTTTCCTATCAAGAGGAGCAGAACAGCCTCTTCTATGACACCCTGAAGGCACCAACCCATGTGAAGTTAGTATGGAACATAGCCTTTGCAGGGCTTTTTGGGTTCCAGGTGTCTGTCCTCTGCTGCTCTTCCCCTCTGCTCTTGTCCCTGACTTGGAAAACATAATTCCAGACATCTCTTCAGGATGCAAAACACAGCTTTTCCTCTCTGTCTTATTCTTGGCTGGAATAACTCTGGATGCAGATGGGCTCTGCAGTTAGGACTGGCCTTCCTTGTATGAGAAGGTCTGCTGGAGTAGGAGGAGGTCATGAAGAGTGTGTGTGTAAAAATACTTAAGACAGTGAGTTATCCTCCTGGCCCTCAGGGTTCCAATGCTAGGGTGCTTTCAACAAAATCTGGTATCCCCTGGGATCTCTCTTCCCTGTTCACCCTCGCTTGACTTTTGGGGCCTCTTGCACCCTGTCCTATAGCAGAGCAGTCTCAGGGGGAGTCAGGGTGGTGCATGATTCAGGAGGAGGTTGGTGAAAGATCAATCTATTAACAACCATCTTGTCCCCTCTCACCTTCCACGCACACAGCGGAGGGAAGGAAGACATTTCGGAGTGGTCAGATGAGGACACTCCCAAGAAGTGCCTGGATGCCAATGGGCATGAGGAAGACCTAAAGGTACCAGGTGTACGGGTACGAGCACTCTACGATTACACAGGACAGGAGGCTGACGAGCTGAGCTTTAAAGCAGGTACAGTGTTGATGATTCTCCACGTGTGGCGGGGACACGAAGCTTGACTCCATTTCAGAAGGCTGATTTATTATGTTAAATATTATATTAAAATGCTATATTAAGACTATACTAAAAGAACAGAGAGATCAGAAGGCTACAACGAGAACAGAACAGAATAGAATAACAAAAATCCTGTGACTGCTCACAGCCTTGGCACAGGTGGCTGTGATTGGTCATCAATGGAAAACAATCCACATGGACCGATCATGGATGCACCTGTTGCATTCCACAGCAGCAGATAGTAATTGTTTACATTTCTCTCCTGAGGCTCCTCAGCTTCTCAGGAGAGGAAAAATCCCAGCAAGGATTTTCCATAATATCATGGCTACAGTACAGAAGCACTAATCTCTTACTAACCTTCCACTGTCCTCACTTTGGCTCACTGAATGATTGAAACACTCTGTAAGAATTGGATGTCCACTTGAAAACTGACCTTTATTCTTCCCTTGGTCTGACCACTGCCAGCTCCTTCGAGGTGGATGACCCAGTGGGAAATTCAGTTTTTTCTAGACCAAAAGGTAGTGATGCTGCATGGCAAGAGACTGTCTAGGCCTTGGTCAGAGTGCAGGGAGAGCAGACCCCTGCCTCTTCTTAGGGCATTTATGCTGAATTGTGTCTTGAATGTTAGATGTTTCTCCCTCCTTTGCACTATTGATATAAAAATTACATGGGTGTTCTGGATTGTCTTTTCAAATAATGTGTAGATATTCTGGGAGAAGCTCACCTAACTGACATGTACTACTGAAGGCAGAAGTCAGCTGGCAAAAAACAGCTATGCAAACTGTTGCTCAAAAGGGCCTGGCTTGCGGCAGAGGACTGAGCACTGGAGCAAACAGACCTGTCCCCTTTTCTTCCTTTAGTTAAATTTAAGTTTGCATGTGCCCTCCTCTTATCTTCAAGTGGACATTTTGATCTTGGGAGTGTCTCTATCTTGCTTGTTTTGAGTTTTACATGGTATTTCTGTGTTATAGCTCTCCAAAACACACCCATTGGAAGTCACTGAAGTCCTTCAGTAGCAGGGCCTTCTGCCTGAGGCCAATATCTGTGCTGCAGTGTTACCATACTAGTAAACTTCCTAACACTAACTTGCTTTAAAATATCCTGCAATATGGGTGCTCTAGACTTGACTTTGTTCTTTCTTTCCACTCAGCAGATGAAATGGGGTATGACATGTTAGCTGTAGTCATCTCCTTTTTGAATCTGCTCTGAGCAACACATACCATTAAGGCTACAGCTTAACAGCAGTGTCTTTCTTAGCCTCTGCCAATGTGGGATGTGCCTATTGATACAGTCAGACCTCCCTCTCTGGCCAGAAGGATGACCTTCTACTGGTCGAGGAGGGGATCTTTCTGCCCCTTCCCAAAGTAGATGTGGGGATGTTAAAAGTCTTTACTGGTCACAGTGTGAAAAATCAGTTGATCTCATGCCTTACTGGCCAAACCAAGACACTTCATCATGGAATAGGCATTTTGGGTCCTAACAGCCAGAGCTTAGCAACTTCTTGTATTTCCTTCCCACTTGCCTGTCAGAGGAGCCACTAAGAAAAAAGTGTCACAGATCTGTCTGATCACCTTGGTTTGTAAGAATATTCCTTAGGGAGAGAAAAGCAGGCAGAACTACAGGGCACAAAAGATTTCTGATACTGAATAGAAAAAGCAATGGTCTGTTTAAGTTCTTTGGCTGAGGTGATAATACTGAGTATAAATACTGAAGAGATCAGTGATTCTGGCTTTGATTAAACTGCACTATGATTAGGGTGTTGATAAGGGGAGAAGAGTGTCATGATTGAGACTAATAGTCTTGTTTTTTATCAAGTCATCCTAGGTGGATAAAATGCCATGCTACCTTTCTCAAGGCTGCCTCCTACTGACTGTTCTTACTTTTAGGTGAAGAACTAATGAAGATTAGTGAGGAAGATGAGCAGGGCTGGTGCAAGGGCCGACTTCTCACTGGTCAAGTTGGACTGTATCCTGCTAATTACGTTGAGAAGGTTGGATCATGATTGCTGCTGCCCCACCAGTGCCTCACAGCCATACCAGCATCTCCTGCAGAGGTCATTGGGTCACTCCTGGCCCCAACCCACCTTTGCAGTATATCCAGCAGCTTCTGGACTTTAAAGGCACATATTCCATGTAACTAATGCATCATTTTAAACATCTAGCTCTGTAGGGATTTTCTAAAAAATAAACAAGGACGAATAAAGACTTTTCTGAGCACTACAGTAGTGTAGGAGTGCGGAAAGAAACAGATCCTTTTGACTTGCACTCAGTGAAAGGAGGTAGGTGTTTTCAGGGAGCTCTATAAAAAAGAGAAAGCATACTTCCTTGACTTCAGTGCACATGCATCCATAGTACATTGGGTGTTGAGGTCTGCCCTGCCTCCAGGCTTCCAGTTCAATGAATTTTTGATATGCAGGGTAATAGGGAACTTCTACTATTGTTTCCCCTTTTTAGCTGCATCAGGCTGACTGGCAGAAAGCTCTTTATTCTCCTGTGTATTTTACAAGTTTTCAGTATCCCTCACCGGCAAGCTTGTTGGCTTCCCTGATATGGCAGCTGGTAAAAGTTACACAGCTACAACCTGAACACCCCTTTTCACTGCCCTCATTTTTATTGGGATAACCCCAGGAATGCATGATAGTATAGCTGAGGCACAGGAGAAAGAAGCTTCTGTCTTGCATGGTGTGGCTGTTCAGGCTAATGAGTTCTGAACAGACATGTTGTGCAGCAAGTTGGAGTTGACTGAATGCTCCCTGAGCTAAAATGGACTTTCACACATGCTGAAGGCTGGTTTTAACAAAATGACAGCCATGTTCCAGTGCTGTTCTGCTTAGGATTCCTAAATTCACTTGTGTATGTTGGGGATTTTAATGCATCTAGATTATTTTGGCTTCACCTCTGTCCAAGAGTACTTAGTGCACAGCAGAGATCCTCTTTTTTTCCTTTTCAATATCTTCTTGACTTACACAGGGCAATAAGTGCACTCCCTGCTTTGCCAAAGACCCCTGCACTGTGATGAGGGTTGCCTGCTGGCTAGCACAAATTACTTATAGAGGGGTAACCCCCCTTTTTGTCCTGAATTGCTGCAAGTGCACTTATGCCCAGTTGTTAAGTGCCATTCAGCAGGGAGGATGTATCCAACATCTTTATCACCTGTCCTCATGCCTTTGAAAGCCTGTGAGGCTGCTGGGAAGACCTGACATCCAGATCCTAGTGCTCTGCATATTCCAACATGGGGACTGATTAGCCCAAGAGCTTGAGGGAACAAAAAACTGGAAAAAGCTCCCATTGTCAGAGGAAAAAAGGCAAACAAGCAGTTGATTAAAAATGGCTTACTTAGTACATCTGCTTGAAACTGCTGTTGAAATAATTTTGAGTTTTGTTGTAACCTTCTGTAGTCACATTCTTATTCTGGCCTAGCAAGTGTGAGTGACCTGGCTCAGTCAGACTCACAAAACTCAGTCAAGCCTCCACCAACCACTTGGGGTGAACTGCTTCAGAGCTGCTTGGAAAAAGGGTGCTGCACACATAAGAAAGGCTGAAGTCATGGGGGAACATCGGGATTAAATGGCCAGTATTGTGTTAACAGCAACTAGTAAACCAAAATGTAGACTGAAACAGAGGAGGGAACAGACATATTCAAACACTGTTAATTTATGAAGATTAAAGTATCACAAATATCTCACTGCAACAGAAATTAAACATTTTACAGCATACTGGATGCCTTGAAATGTAGTCTGCCACGGACAAAGAGATGGGAGACTAATGTTATTTAGTGCTTTTGTGAGACCACAGAAACTTACAGTTGGAAGGTTTTGCTTTAAATACCCCTATCAATGTAGTTCATGAATGGGGAAGAGGGGTGCAAACCAAAAGAAAAAGTCTAAAGCATTTTGCTCAGAGTCTATTATGTCATTTCTCAATAAAAGAGAAAGTATTTCCAAAAGGCAATTAAATATCTAAGCAACAGACATTAAAAATGCCTGGATTTAGCTAGGAGTTTAATTAGTATTCTAGGTTCAGTATCTGAAGATGCCTCTAAGATGATGCCGTGTAATTAGAGGTGTTGGTGTATAAGCACTTGGACTTATTTAAAGATCCAGTCTGCTTTCAGTTCTGTGTCCCAGGTAAAAATATAATTAGTCTTGTGCAGTAATTGCAAGTGTTCCCTTGCTGACCCACAATGGAATGATTTGTTGCTCCTTTGTCCTAGCACACATGAATGTGAAGAGAGCTGTGCCTGTCAGGCTTCTGAGAGAACTGAGATTAAAACAGCGCAAAAATGACCTGAGATGTCCTATAAACAATATTGAAGTTTCCCTGATTGACCTGCATATTTCAAACCCTGATGATAGACTTTCATGTAAGGTCAAAAAATGGTAGAATGGAGCTACAGAGGATGACATGGAAAACTGACTTTCAACTCCTATTTGAATTCTAGTCTGGCTGTAATTAGGGATGGAGGTAGGTGTGGCCATAACGTGCTAAAGGACAGAAATGTCCAGTGAACAGAACCTCTGGTTACAGTACAAACAACCTGAAATTCCACAGGACAAAGTCTGAACAGACTTGTTTGTCCTAGGAAAACATGACCACCTGATTATAGTGGGCTGCTTGAAGGTTTCCAGAATTTGTGACATACTGTATCTTATGTGACCAAGTTCTCTAAGGACTGTTTGCACATCAGAAATTCCTGCCAAGAGTTGAAGCAATGGACAGCAGACAATACATTGAGAATGAAAAATTGTTTGGCTGGACTATAGCTCAGAAACATGCATGGCACTTAGTCCTGGCTACCCAAAACCATCTGGATTAGTAAAAGAGCCTGTGTAGTAAAGATCTAGCTGGAGGGAAGGAGGAAAAAACAACCCCACACCAACCCACATCTAATGATCTTGTATTAAAGTAATAGCTCTGCCTGGATACTTGGTTTTCCACAGAAGCAAATGAGGTTTTGTTAACCACAAAGGTTCTAGTTGAAACTTCCATGCCATGCCAAAAGTTTTGTGTGTGAACAGACATGTACACAGAAACTAATTGCTGTGCCTGAATTCCAGAAGGCCAGTGAAGCCTGTTCTTTTCCCATGGTTTTTGTAAAAAAATACAAATGCACCTCTGTGCCTGATGGGCAACACAGTGAATAATTATCTAGTCATATTTTATTTTTTAATAAAGCCATTCCTTGTGGAAAGCCTGTACACCTGTGGTTAGCAGATAATTCATTTGGTTTTGGTATCTTCCTGGAAAAGAATTTTGGAACTATCATGCAAAGCTTGGATTTCCTGTTGATGAATTTTGTAGGAAGAGGAAGTTAAAGATTATCTATGACAGATCACACCCATTTCCCCAAAGTAGCAGCTGAGCTTGCCTAACTTCAATAATGGTTTTGCCCTGTAGGCAAAATCTGGGTCACAGAGCCCACGGGCCAGCTGTGCTGTGGGATGGCAGCTGAGTTGTGGTTAGCCTCTAGCTCTGGGTGACACTCCCACAGCCCTGCCTGGAGCTTGGGGCCATTGCTGCTTCAGTTTACTTTCCATCCCACTTCCCCTCCCCTGTGTCCTTGTGGCTGTTTTGCTTGGCACTAAGCACTGAGGCAGGTGCAAGTGTGTGGCAATCCTGCAGAGAGACCTGTCAGTGTTGTTAAAAACTGTCCTGCTGCTCCTGCTCTGTTTGCAGGTCCAGCCCAAGGCCACAGTGAGGCTGTGCAGCTCAGCTCTGTCATCCCCCGCCTGCAGGCTCTGTGTGAACTGGAGCTGCCTTGGTTGCATTTGTGAGCTGCTGGCATTATGCTTAGGGACACAGGCTGCTGAAATCCCTTCTGCTTGTGAAGAAAGCTGATGTTGCAGTCAAAATGGGCTTGAACACTCCACTTAGACCCGTAGGTGATAATTTCTAGGGTAACTGCACTGAGGCCAGCTGCTGACAGATCATGGGGCTGAACGTTAGACAAAGCCAATGCCACAAACCCCATCTTGACCCATGGAAATGTGTTTGGGAAATACCCACTGCAGGCTGGCAGCAAAGGCTGTGCAAAATAAGCAATAGTAAGGCAGCATGATACAAGGCAAAGTGTCTTCAAAGGCACCTTGCACCAAAACCAAAAAATAAGAACAAAAAAACTTGTAACCATGTGATGAAGCACTGCCCAGGGCCAGGCTACAAGGAGCTGACAAACTCGGGGCTGCGAGGGAGTGAGACTTTACCAAGCTATCTAGGTTCTTAGCAGATCAAAGAGGATTAATATGAGATGATGAACAAATCCTTGCTGAAAGGGAGGGGAAGGGGGTGGTGGGTGAAGTAGGTTCTGTAACTGGAAGAAACTGGTTAGTTATCTTTAGAACATCTTGACTTAGCAACATGGCTCCAGTGAACTTTTCCAAACGAAATTTCAAGCCAAATCACCTCAGCTGCTTTCACCACATCCATTTTTTGGCCATGTCCTCCTGTTTTTCATCATTCAGTAACCCTGTTTTCTGGTTTGTCAGTCTCTCAGCTTAAGACAATTACAGCTGCAGCTTGAGACACCTCAACAGGCAGTGTAGTGCTACTCAACACTTCTACCCCCTTAGTGAGGGAGTCCATAAGCTCTCCTCTCCTCTTCAGTTTCAGCACTTTCACTGGGTCCTAATTACACATCCTGTGGTCCCTTCCTCCCTGCATTTCCTTTCTGTCCAAGCAGTTGGAAGTCTTCTTCCAGGTCCTCCACTCTCCCCCTTGGACTTCACTGCCTCCTTCCTGAGTCTATTGTTCCTGCTTCCAGCAGGAGGCTGACACCCAAACACAGTCACTGCCCCCAGCTGTAACCACAGTAGCCCTTTTTCTCAAATTCTCTTCAGGGCTTCATCACAGGTGCCAGACAGTTCCTAAGGAATGCTGTGTCCATAATTATATGGATGTTTGTTTCACCAGTGGCTCTGCATCCCCTCTAAACATTGCAGCCCCCTATGGAGTTGAAGTACTGCTACCTACTCCTCCTGCACCCAAATCCTTCACTCCTAGTGACCTGTTAGTGGTGATTCTGCTCTGAGAATTCTTTGTTTTCAAAAGAGCTTTCTCATTTTGCCTTGCTTATTACCTTGTCTTCTGGTCAGCTCTGCCTGCCTTTCTTTCATGGGTCACTATCTTGTGCTTAAGGCACACTCCCAATGCTCATAGGGGCTGCAGGCAACTAATTCCTGTACTAGAGGGATTCAGTTTATTTAGAAAACTCCTGAGTGGGTGATCTGCAGGGAAGGGAGATTACACACCTACTGGAAAATTTGGAAGAGTCATGTCTGATGGGTGGACAGCCCTGCTGGTTCTGACCTCAGGCAAGTGCCCCTGAAAGAAGGGAGCTCAGGATCTACTCATTTCTCACTTTTTCACCTTGCTTCTATGTGGTGTGATGTGTATGTCTTCCCTCACTTGAGTGATTGTCCCCTGCCAAACAGCCTGCTTCCAGCAGGGACACCTCTAACATCTCCAAACAGACCATCACAGCAAGATCTAAAATTAGTCCTCAGATCCAGGAAACACCACACCACATCAGTTGGCATACCTCTACTTTGGGGTATATCTAAAGCTTCCCAGGTCCAAACCACCTGCCAGGCCAGAGGTAATATTACCAGACATTTGTAAATCAACATTTAATTGTAATATTGGAAATGGAGTAACAAAACCCTGAAGATACACATGTATATACATACAGACATTCACTTAACAACTACTCAGAAGCAGCACACTCCTGCCCTGGCTCTACACTCCCATCAGCCTTTCCATCAAACTGCAGCAGTTTTGTCTGGCAGCCCAGCAAGGCTGTCTGGCACAGCTGAAAGGGACAGTCCTCTCTTCTCCTAGCCTAGACTTCCTAGCCCTTGCCTTACTTATTCAGCACTTGCACAAGCCCAAAATGAGCTCAGCAATGCAATGAGAAGTGCTGTTTGAGCACGGCTTGGGATACAACTCAGCCCACAGCTGCCACTTCCCAGAGTGGGTGCAAGTGACAGCACGTGCTGCAACATAACCCCAAATCAGAGCAAGCCATCCATGACTACACTTCTCAGTGTTCCTTAAGTTGTGTTCCTTCAACCTTTGCTGGCTTTTCTCCAAACCTCAACATTTGCAAGACTGCAGTAAAATTGTGTAAGTTGTAAACTTTATTCACTGTACACATACTGTATTAGCTCCTTATCTTAGATCTTGCTGGAAGCATTGCACGGAGCCAGTGAGTGACATGACTGCCTGTCTTGGTGCTATACTTTTTCCTAGGAAGGCAGCTACTAATTACACCCAGTCCAGCACACTGGCAGCCTGGTCAGCCACAGCCCTCAGCCAGCTGCTTCCCTTGCATCAATCCAAGTGAATACATGGCAGGGCACTTTGCTGACTTGACAGAAACCTAACCTAATCCAAGGATAAGTTTTCCATATGATCCCTGAAACCACAGACAATTAGGAGCATCCTCTTACTGTCCCTTTTAGCTGGGAAGGAGCATACCTGCTGAGAACCTGTCCCTTGTTGTAGTGAGAAGGAGAATGCTTTCTACTCAATTTTCCTCTCCTCCATTCATGGCTATGTTTGCTCCTTCCACTACTGAAAATAGCCAGGCTGCCCTGAAATACTGAGCAGAGATTTCTCCCAGAGTTACTGGCTATCCACAAGGGAAATCATGTAGATTGGTTAGTGTCTGTGAACTGCTTAGTAAGAGAGGAGGAAAAAAAATTTTAAAAAACCATTTTTGTTAGGAATTGCTGGTTTGCCCAAGGCATCATTGTAGATTTCTGGTACCCCACCACTCAACACTGAGCCATGAGAAACTATATCCCCCTGTTACTTATTGGGTAGTTTACTGAATTTGCCAGCTCCTTTCCCAAAACTTCTCATTCAGCAAGTGTGAGAGGCCAATGGGTCTGAATAGGAGAGGAAGACTCAGCCACCTCATGTCTCTCCTGCACAGTCCTATCACCCATGTTCTTTGCTGGGCAGTGAGAAAAGAGCAAGGTCCCTTTTTCCCTCTACCACCCTGCTTTTGGACAGACTCACAGAGAAGCACTTTTACCTTTGGCTCAGATCTGAAAGTCCAGGGCACGTTTTATCCCCATCACAGCACTTCCCTCCTGAATCTCTCCAGCTCTTTCACAGTAAATCATGCTCTCAGATAACCAGACTTCTGCATTGAAAATGTGTCCCTGGTGGTATGGCAGACTCCCAAGATCATGCCTGGCCATCATCATTTGCTTTCCTTTGCTGTCTTGGATAATGCTGGGAACTATCTTTTACTGGCAAATGTAGATAACAGAGGGTGATCTCTGATTAGAAGGCTACATCAGGGTCTGGTGTCACAGCAGCCAGGAGGAAAGAGGTAAATGTCAGTTGGGATGTAGATGGATAGGGAAGCTGAGAGCCAAAGAGCAGGCTGCCAGCTTGGCGCTCAGAAATTCAGCACTAAAGCACATGAGATGCAAAAGAAACAGATGCAGGAAATAGCAAGAACAGTGCAGTGACAGCACTCATTCACAGGGAACAGGCAGCAGCAGGAGGTCTTTCCTGTACTAACAAAGGCAACAAAAAACTGATTACTTCTCAGACCAGCAGCATGCTTTCCCTGCTGTTTTTATGCAAAACTGATGGACAGGATCAGCAGCCTTGCCAGGATCTGGAGCAACCAGCATGGGTTTGAAGGCCTGCAAGGGACCATGCTGAGGTAGAGAAGCTGAAGCAACCCTGCTGTAGCAAGCATTCCAAGGACACAATACAGTGAACAGAAACCCTGCTTCCTCCATGGAGGAGAGGAGCTGGCACTGTAGCTCCCCATGTCTCCTAGCACAGACCACCAGAGACAAAGTGTGACACTGACCTACTGGCCTCTGAGGCTGCCTTGGCTCCTCCTGAGCATGTGCCATTTCTCCCTGTCATGATTTAACCCTTCATCCAAGCATTACACAGCTCACTCCACCCACCCCACACCACCCACTGGGATGGGGAAGGGAATTGGAAAAAGATAAAATTGGTGGGTGGAGATAAGAACAGTTTAATACATGAAATAAAGTAACATATAATAATAATAGGAAAAAGGAATTAAACCCAAGAAGAACAAGTGATGCACAATACAGTTGCTCACTGCCTGCTGACTGATGCCCATCCCATTCTCAAACACAAGAAAGAAACAGAGAAGAGAAGAGGAGCAGCACCACATAACTGATGATGACAGGGCAGG